CGCCCCCCCCCGCGGGGGGCTCCCCCCCCCGCTCCCCGCCCCCCCCCTCCTCCTCCAGCACCTCCACGCTGCGCCGGAAGAACCGTTTGGGGGGGGACTGGGGGGGGGATTTGGGGGGGGATTTGGGGTCCCCCGGGTCGGCGGCCATGGCTGGGACCACCCCCCCACCCCTTCAATGGGGGGGGCGTCCTCCCCCCCGGAGCAGAGGGGGCTCAGGTGCTCCTATGGGGTGGGGGTGGGGTCCGGGGAGGGGGATTTGGGGGGTCTCAGGTGTCCGGGGAGGGGGATTTGGGGGGTCTCAGGTGTCCGGAGGGGTCCGGGGAGGGGGATTTGGGGGGTCTTAGGTGTCCGGGGGGGTGTCGGGGGGGGGTGTCACGTGCCCACGGGGGGGGCGTTGGGGGGGTTTCAGGTGTCCGGGGGGAGTTCGGGTGTCCGAGGGATTTGGGGGGTTCAGGTGCCGCGGGGGGGGTGGGCCCAGGTGAGGGGATTTGGGGGGGTCTCAGGTGTCCGGGGGGAGGGGCTCGGGTGTCCGCGGTGGGGTTTGGGGGGGTCCAGGTATCCGGAGGGAGGTTTTGGGGGGATTCAGGTGCCGCGGGGGGCTGGGGGGGTCCAGGTGAGGGGTCCGGGGGGGTCACCTCGCTTTCGGGGGTCTCACTCCCACCCCCGGTGTCACCGGCGGTGGCCGCGTCAGCCCCCCCGGCCCCCGCGGGGGGACCTGGAGGGGAGAGACAAAGAGGGTTCGGTTTGGGGGGAAAGGGGGTAATTCGGGGGGGGAGGGGCTGACTGATGAAGGCAGGGGGTTAATTGGGGGGTTCCCGAGGTCTGGGGGGGCTGAGAGCATCCCCCGCCCCCCCCTCCCCCCGCACACACCGGCGGCGCTTCCTCCGGAGGAGGGACTTCCGGGGGCAGCCCCCCCCCGTGAGTACCCCCCTATGGATCCCATGGACGATATAGGTACCCCCAGCCCCCCCCCATGGATCTTATGGGTACCCCCAGCCCCCTCATGGATGGTGTAGCTGACCCCCCCAGGATCCTATAGGTGCCCCCAGCTCCCCCCCCGGATCCTATAGGTACCCTCAGCCCCCCCCATGGATTTACAGGTGCCCCTCTCACCTCCTACGGGTGATAGAGGTGCCCCCCCCGATGATACAGGTACCCCTCTGCCCCCCTGGATATGTCATGTTATAGGTACCCGCTCATGGATGCTGTAGGCGCCCCAGCCCTCCCCATCCCACCCTAACCCGTCCCCAGACCCACCCTGTACACCCCCTCCAGCCCCTCTGGATCCTATAGGCATGGAATGTGCCCCCCCCCAGCCCCTGTGAACCCCTATAGCCTTCCTGCACCCCCTATAGCCCCCCTATAGCCCCCCGTGCCTTCCTATAACCCCTGCACCCCCTATAGCCCCCCTAGAGCACCCCGTGCCTCCGAATAACCCCTGCACCCCCTATAGTAGCCCCCCTATAAGCCCCTCCCCCCATGCCTTCCTATAACCCATGCACACACTATAGCCCCCCTAGGCCCCAGCCCCCCCGTGCCTTCCTATAACCCCTGCACCCCCTATAGCCCGCCCCCCTATAGCCCCCCGTGCCGTCCCTAATAAACCCTGCAGCACCCCCCTATAGCCCCCCTAGAGCTCCCCATGCCTTCCTATAACCCCCCTGCACCCCCTATAGCCCCCCTATAGCCCCCCGTGCCTTCCTATACCCCCTGCACCCCCTATAGCCCCCCTATAGCCCCCCATGCCTTCCTATAACCCCTGCACCCCCTATAGTCTCTGTGTCACCCATAGCCCCCCACGGCCCCTGCGTGCCCCTCTGCCCCCCAGCCCTTAGACACCACCAGGGTCCCTACACCCCCCTACAGCTTCTACAGAGCCCTCTGTGCCCCCCAGCCCCCTGTGCCCCCCAGCCCCCCCACCTCCCACAGCGCCCCGTGCGCCCCCATGGCCCCCGAGCCCCCCACACCCGTTGCCCCCCCCATAGCGCCCCGACCTTCTCTATCCCCCCACGGCCCCCCCGTGCCCCCTCCGCACCTGCTGCAGCCCCTCCGAGCCCCCAGATCCCCCCGGCCCCCTTTCCCCCCATCACCCCCCCAATCCCCAGGGCCCCCCCGCCCCCTCACCGCGTCACGTGACCGCGGTCGCGCGGGGGCTGCCGGGAGTTGTAGTCCCGATCGGACGCTGGCGTTGGCCACGCCTCCCCTTGGCACACGCCCCTCATCATGGCCGTGCCCCCTCCGCCATCGGCGGCTCGGGCGTCGCCCGACGGCCCCGCTCCGATCGGTGACTCGGCGCTCGGCCGCGCGCCCTGCGCAGCGCCGTCATGGCGGCCTCCGCGGCGGAGGCCCGGGCGCTGTTCGCGGAGGGCGTGGGGGCCGTGCTGGGGGGGTGGGCGGCGCTGCAGGTGAGGGAGGGCTTCGGGAACACGGGGGTCACCTGGGGAGAGAGGGGGGGACACTGGAGGTGACACGAGCGGGACACGAGTGGCACTGGGAGGAGACACGGGGGGGACCCACAGGGTGACACTGGGGGGCTGTGACAGGCTGGGGGGATAGGACATGGAGGGGGACACACGGGGGAGGCCATTTGGGGGGATCTGGGTGGGAGGGGCAGCGCTGGGGTCCCCCGTGTCCCTCCTGGGCTGTCCCCATGAGTGTCCCCGTGTCCCCCCCAGTTGGCCGTGGCCCAGGGCTTTGGGGGGCCGCAGGGCCCCGAAAAGGCCGCCTGGCTCCGCTCGGCCCTGCTCGATTTCTTCACCCAGAACGGTGGGTGCCGCCCCTCCCCCACCCCGGGGGGGGCAGGGAGGGGGAGGAGGGACCCGGGGGGGGGAAGGGACAGGGGTGACCCCCCCCTGTGCCCCCCCCAGCTGACCTGGAGCAGGAGGAGGTGGAGGATTTCCTGGCTGAGGTGATGGACAACGAGTTCGACACCGTGGTGGAGGACGGCAGCCTGGAGCAGGTGGGACCAGTACGGACCAATGTGGGCCAGTATGGGCCAGGGGCCTCCCAGCAGCTGCCCAGCACCGCCCCAGGCACTCCCAGTCCATCCCAGTTCATCCCCAGGTGCTCCCAGTACAGCCCAGTTCATCCCCAGGTGCTCCCAGTACAGCCCAGTTCATCCCCAGGCGCTCCCAGTACAGCCCAGTTCATTCCCAGGCTCCTACCCCATCCCTCAGTGCTCCCAGTGCTTCCTAGTCCTTTCCCAGTATAAACCAGTACTCTCCCAGTGCTCTTTTTTTCTCCCTCCTGGCACCCCCTGGTCCTTTCCACTATGTCCCGAGTAACTCCCCCAGTCCATCGCAGTCCGTCCCAGTCCGTCCCAGTCCATCCCAGTTTCCCCGTTCCAGGTGAGCCGGGAGCTGCTGACGTTGTTCTCCCGGGCGCGGGGGGGGGACACGGTGGGGGTGGGGGCGGCCCTGGGGGCTCTGGCCCGAAGGGGCCCTGCCCTGGCCACCGCCCTGGCCACGGCCCGGCCCGGGGGGGACCCCCAGAGCCCCCCCGGGACCCCCCCGAGCTCCCCCGGGACACCCCAGAGCCCCCCTGGGACACCCCCTGGCCACGAGCAGGAGGAAGAGGAGGAAGAGGTAAGGGGAGTGTGACCTCAGGGGGGTGATGACATCATTGATGGGGCCCCTGATGATGTCATAGGTGGGGGGGATGCCCAGGATTGGGGGAGGGGGGCTGGGACCCCCTGGTTTGGGGAGGGCAGTTGTGACATCATCAGATTGGGGAGGGGTTACTGGTGATGTTATCAAAGTGGGCAAGGATTGGGATTGACTGGGATATACTGGGAGGGAGCTGGGGGGAGGCAGGGGACTGGGAGGAGACTGGGATATACTGGGAGGGGCTGGTTAAAGCAGGGGACTGGTTTAACCCCGGGGGGGCAGTGATGACGTCACAGGTGGGGGTGTCCCACTGATTATGTAATCGGGACCCCACTGATGACGTCATTGCCCCAGGCGATGGAGTGCGGGACACCCCCGCCCCCCCCCGACGGCTGGACCCTCGTGCAGCGACGGCGGCGGCGATGAGTGGGGGGAGGGGTGTCGTGTGTGTACCCCCCCCAGATTGGGGGACACCCCTCCCCCACCCTGCTCCCCAAATTGGGGGGGAATAAAGGCCCCTCCCCCAAAGGGGGATGTGGGAAGAGGAGTCGTGTGGTTATTGGGGGGAGGGACCCCATAGAGACCCCCTGGGACCCTATAAAGACCATTGGACCGCATAGAGATCCCTCCCGCTGCCTCCCAGTACAACCCAGTGCCCCCAGCCTGCCACTCCCAAGATGGCGGCGACTGTCTCGTCTCCACGGCAACGGAGGGGGCGGGACGTCCTCGCCGCGTACGGCGATTGGTTGTCAGTTTGTGTGGGGCGGGGCCGCGATGCGACTTGCCCAGGCGGTCATTGGTCGTTGAGGGAGGTGGTGGGCGGTGATTGGTCAGAGGGGCAGGCCGCGGGCGCTGATTGGCCGCCTTTGCCGGGTGGGCGGACGAGGCGGGAGCGCGGGAAGGCGCGGCGGCGATGGCGGCGCGACTGGAGCGCGCGGGGGGGTGAGCGCGAGACCCCCCCCATGGCGGGAACCCCTGAGGGAACCCCGCCGCCATCCTGGAACGGGGGGCAGCTGGGGGGTCTGAAGGGGTTACCGGGGCCTCCCGGGGATCCCTGAGGCGTCTGCGGGGCCCATTGGGGTCCCTAGGGGGTCCCCCCCCGTCCCCACGAGGGTCCCTGAGGGGTCATTGGGTCCTCACGGGACCTGAAGGGGTCCCAGCGGGGTCCCTGGGATGTCCCCCTCGATCCCCATTGGGGTCCCTGAGGAGTTATCGGGTCCCACTGGGGTCCCTGGGATGCCCCCCCTGATCCTCACAGGGGTCTTTAAGGGGTCCCTTGGTGTGTCCCCCCCATGCCCACGGGTGTCCCCTCGGGTGTCCCCAGGGTGCTGACGGCCCTCGAGGCCGCCCTGGCCTTGGAGGAGGAGGGGGATGTCCCGGCCCCGGTCCTGGTGGAACATCAAGTGGTGAGACCCCCCCGCCCCTCCATAACCCCCCCTCAGCACTCACATTCCCCCCTCGGCTGTTTTTGGCCTCCCTATTTGCCCCCCAAACCTCCCCTTGATGCCCCCCCCAAATTCTCATATACCCTTGATGCTCCCCCCAAATTCTCACAGCCCACCCCCCCCTCATTTAGGCCCGAATCTCCCTGTGACCCCCAAATTTATCTCCCAAATCCCTCCCTGGCCTCCTCCACATTTATACCTCAAACCTTCCCTGACCGCCCCCATTTTCTGCCCTTCTCTCTGGCCCCCATATTTTCCTCAAACCCTCCCAATTATCCCTCCAAATCTCTCTTTCACCCCCATCCTTGACCCCCCAAACTTCCCCCTGACCCACAAAAGTGCCCCCTGTGACCCCCTGACCCTCCAAACCTCCCCAGGACACCCGTCGGAAGCAGAAGCTGCTCCTGTCCCAGCTCCGGGTGCTGCGGCTGCTCCTGGGGGTCATCGAGAACCCGGGGCTGCCCCCGGCCCCCGCCGGCCTCCGTGAGCCCCCCAAAACCCCTGACCCCCCCAAACTGAACCCAGGGTCTCTGTGAGCCCCCTGACCCACCCCTGAACCCCCAAACCGAGCCCAGGGCTTCTGTGAGCCCCGCAAACCTCCCTGGCCCCCCAAACTGAGCCCATGGCGTGTGTGAGCCCCCCAAGCCCCCCTGACCCCCCAAATCCCCCAACCATTCCCAAAGCTCTGGGGCCCCCCCAGCCCCAGAGACCCCTGAGTCTCCCCTGGGTCCTCCTGATCTCTTCTGGGGGGGCTGAGAGAGCCAAAATGAGGGAGTCTGGGACGGGGTTTGGGGTTTCCTGGACACCCAGGTCCCATTTGGGGGTTCCCAGGTTCCCTTTGGGGGTGTTTGGGATCCCCATTTGGGGCTATTTGGGGTACTCTGCATTTCAGGGGGTGGTTTTTGGGGTCCCCCTCTTTTGGGGGGGCTTGGGGGTCCTCAGGTTCCCTTTGGGGGTGTTTGGGGTCCCCATTCCAGGGGTCTGACAGGTGCCCCCCCAGGTGAGGCTGCAGCCCAGGCCCGGGGCCAGTGGCAGGAGCTGAAGTTGGGGTACAGGGGGGCCCTGGGGGCCCTGGAGGGGGCTGTGCCCCCCACCCTCACCCAGCTGGGGAAGGGGCAGCGGCTGCTGCAGCGGCTCAGGGCAGTCCTGGGGGCCCGGACCCAGCAGGTACGGGGGGTCTGGGGGGGTCCCATGGGTGTGGGGGGTCCTGGGGGTCCAGGCCAGGCAGGGACAGGGAGGGCTTGGGGGTCTGGGGGGGGTCCTATGGGTGGGGGGGTGATGGAAGTGGGAATATGGGGGCTGTGGGGTGGCTAAAGGGGGGCTGGGGGGCCAGTGTGGGTCCGGGGGGAGTCCCTTGGCTGTGTGTGGATTAGAGGGGGTATTGGGGTGAGGGGGTCCTATGGGTCCTGAGGGGGTCCCATGGGTGCTGGGGGAGGTCCCATGGCTGCTGAGGGAGTCCCATGGGTCCTGAGGGGTCCTGTGGGTGCTGGGAGGATCCTATGGGTGCTGAGGGGGTTCCATAGGTGTGAGGGGGTCCCATGGGTGCTGGGGGAGGTCCCATGGGTCCTGAGGGGTCCCGTGGGTGCTGGGAGGATCCCATGGGTGCTGTTCCCCCCAGCAAGAGGAGCTGCAGGTGAAGATTCGTGAGGCCACCGAGAGACGGGACGAGGTGAGATGGGGGGGTCACCCCCCTCAGGGTCCCTCTGCCCCTGGGGGGTTCCTCCCTCCCGGCTTGGGGTGACCCTGCCGTCCTATTGGGGTTCCCCCCACATTTCATTTTTCAGTTCCACCCCCATTTTGGGGTCCAGCCCTAATTTTGTGTCTCTGTCCCCCAAAAGTTTGGGGTTTCTGTCTCCACTCTGCTTTTGTGGTTTCAGTGTCCCCCCCCCAATTTGGGGTCCCCTCCATTCTGGGGTTTCAATCACCCCATTTTATGGTTCCTCCCCACTTTGGGGCTCTCGCCCCCCCCAAGTCTTGGGTCTCAGCCCTCTTCAACATGGGATTCCCCCGGGTTTGGGAGGGGGGGATCCCAAATTATCCCCAGTTTGGGGTCTCTACCCCCAGTTTGGGGTCTCTCTCCCTCAATTTGGGGTCTCTCCCCCCTGTTTTGGGGTCTCCCCCGCCTCATTTTGGGGTCTCTCCCCCAGTTTGGGGTCTCTCCCCCTCAATTTGGGGTCTCCCCCCCAGTTCGGGGTCTACCCCCCCATTTTGGGGTCTCTCCCCCCCATTTTGGGGTCTCCCCCCCGCAGTTGCTCCGGCGGGTTCAGGAGCGACGGCGGGGGCGGCTCGGCCGGCAGGGGGCGCTGAGGAGCCACAGGGGGGCGGCCACCAGGTGAGGGGGCGGGGCCACGGAGAGGTGGGCGGGGCCTGATGGAGGGGCGGGGCTTGGGTTGTTGGGAGGGGCGGGGGGGACGCGGGATTTTGGGGGTATCTTGGGGGGTCCTGAGAGAGACCAGCAGGGGTGGGGGGCAGGTCCCCGGGTTGGGGGGTCCTGGAAGAGACCCGGGAGGTTTGGAGGTGTCTGGAGGGGTTCAGTGGGGACCCAGGTATGTCCAGGTATGTGGGGGGGGGTTCTGGGAACTGGGGGGACCCAGGAATTTGGGGGGGAGACACACCCCCACAAAGGTACCCCCACACCGGGGGGGTCCTGTGCCCCCCCACTGACCGGTGGTCGCAGGGCGGGGGCCTCGTGCCACCTGTACCAGGCCCTGTCGGGGGTCCGGGTGCTGCCCCCCCCCTCAGGGACCCCCGAGCTGGAGCTGGAGCTGGAGCTGGAACTGGGACCCCCCCCGGGACCCTCCCCCGGCTCGCTGCCCCCCCTGCGCCTGAGCCACAGCCCCCGGGGGGGGGTCCGAGTGCTGGTGAGGGGCTGGGGGGATTTGGGGAGGCTGGGGGAGATTTGGGGTCTTGGGGGGGGCATTTGGAGGGTGGTTGGGGGCTGAGGGGGCACTTGGGGGGTGGGGGGAACCCGAGGGGCTGGGGGGGGTTGGGGATCATCTGGAGAGCTGGGGAGGGGGAATTTGGGGTCTCGGGGTGGGAAGGGGCTCCTGGGGGGCACTTTTGGGGGGTGGACGGGTTGGGAGGGCACTTGAGGGTCAGGAACTGAGTTGGGGGTCTGGAGGGGCAGGTGGGGGGCACTGGGAGGGCCTGGGGGGGCAGTTTTGGGGTCTCACCATTCCCCCTTCCCCCCCAGGGTCCCCCCCTGCCGCTGCCACCCCCCCTGGGCCCGGGGCTGCTGGAGCTGCAGCGGCGCTGCTGGGACGGGTGGGGGCTGTGGGAGGAGGTGACACACCTGAGGGACAGGTGAGGGGACACCTGGGGACAGGGGAGGGGACACCTGGGGACAGGGGAGGGGACAGGTGAGGGGACACCTGGGGACAGGGGAGGGGACACTTGAGGGACAGGGGAGGGGACACCTGGGGGACGGGGAGGGGGGGGACACCTAAAGGACAGGTGCGGGGGGGTCTTGGGGGTGCTCCGGATTCTGGGGGGCCCCAGAGTTTGAGAGGGATCCCTGGTGTCCAGGGGGTGTTCCCTGGATTCTGGGGGGGGTTCCCGGTGTTCAGGGGGGTCCCCAAGCCCTGTTTCCCCCCCCAGGTTTGCCCTGGACTGGCAGCCCGAGTTGGGGCTCCTGCGGGTCCTGGGGGGTCCCCGGGGGGCCGAGACCCTCTGGACGCTGGAGTTGGACCCAGGGTACCCCCAGAGTGGGGGGGTGCGGCTGCTGCCCCCCCCCGAGGGGGCCCCCCCCATCCCCGTGAGTGCTTTGGAGGGGTCCTGGGGGGATTTAGGGGTCCCTGGGTGGGGGTTGGGGGGTCTATGGGGCAGGTTGTGGGGTCTGGGGGCAATTTGAGGTTCCAGGGGGGCACCTGGGGTCCCTTACAGCCAGTTTGGGAGAGGGGGGGTCCCAGGGATGCTGGGGGAACCCTGGGGGTGTTTTTGGGGTCTCTGGAGGGCACTGAGGGGGATCCTGGGAGTGGTTTTATGGGTCTCAGTGGGTTTTGGGGGGTCCTGGAGTCACGGGGAGGGTCCCAGGGTTGGTCTTAGGCGTTTGGGGGGGCTCTTGGGGTGGTTCTCAGGGGCACACGGGATCCTGGGGCATGAACCCCCTGACCCCCCCTTTTCCCCCCACAGTCACCCCCAGACCCCCCCACCCTGACCCGGTGGCTGGAGCTGCTGGTGGGGCCCCCGAAGCCCCGCCCTGAGGGATCCCAGAAGTCCATGCCCTACTGAAAATGGGGACCCTCCCCCCAATAAACCCCCTGCAACTCCCTCCACCCCAAAGAAACCCACTGTGCCCTCCCAGTAAACCCACTGTACCCCAATAAATCCACAGTACCCCCTAATAAAACCCCCCAATAAACCCACTCTACCCCCTAATAAACCCACTGTGCCCCCTAATAAACCCCCCCAATAAACCCACTGTGCCCCCTAATAAACCCCCCCAATAAACCCACTGTATCCTTGTAATAAACCCCCTGCCCCCCCGTAAACCCCCTGCCCCCCGCTGCCGGCTCTGTGTCACCCCCAAACAAAGGGGGTTCCTGGGGGGGTTGCAGGAGCAGCTTTATTGGGGTGGGGGTGGGGTGAGGGGGGTCTGGGGGTGCTGGGAGCCCCCCCAGGTGCGGGGTCCCTACGGGGGGGGGTCCCCGCGGCGCTTGGGCTGGTTGCGCTCGGGGTGCAGGAGGATCACGTAGACCTTGGGGGCATAAAGGAGCCCCAGGGGCACCGAGGCCGAGAGGCTCATGGACACCGTCAGCGTGGCCATCTGCACGTGGACCTGCACCCCGGAAACGGGACCCCAAAACTTGCTGAGCGGTGAGACCCCCAACCCAAACCCCATCACCCCCCGAGCCCCCCAAACCCAACCACCCCCCACCCCAGGGCTCATGGGCACCGTCAGCACATGGACCTGCACCCCAAAACCAGGGGAACCTCAAATCCTACTGAACCACGTGTGTGCCCCCAGGGACCCCAAAAACACCCAGGGACCCCCCAGATACCCCTTGGGGACCCCCGAACGCCCTCCTCACCCTCTCAGCCAACTGAGCAGCCCCGAAGAAGATGGGTCCGAAAGCGAGCACAGAGGATGTGTGTGCCCCCAGGGACCCCAAATACCCCCCCAGGGACCCCAAACACACCCCCAGGGACCCCAGATGCCCTCTCAGCTCACCCTGTCAGCGGACTGGGCGGCCCCGAAGAAGATGGGCCCGAAGGCGAGCCACACCACGCAGGTGGTGTACATGGCGAAGCCGATGGGCTTGGCCTCGTTGAAGGTCTCGGGGACGCCGCGGGCCTTGACGGCGTACACGGTGCAGGTGAGCATGAGCAGCAGCGCGTAGGCCAGGCAGGCCAGCGTGGCCCCCTCGGCCATGTCGCAGCGCAGGACCCCCCGCGCCGCCTCGGGGTCGGGGGTCCGGCCCATCTCGTAGTCGATGAGGGCGTGGGGCGGCCGCACCAGCAGCCACGTGGCCGCGGCCACCAGCTGGAGGCCACTGAGGGTGAAGGTGATCACCAGCTGGGACGTGGGGCTGATGAACCGCGGCGGCGTCACCGAGCGCTTACCTGGGGGGCACGCGGGGTCAGGGGGCACCTGGGACACCTGGGCACCCCCGGGACACGCCTGGTACGAGGTGTGGTGGGTCAGTATAGGTGGGACCCCACCCCACATCCCTCGGCCTCGTCTCCAAGGTCCCTTCCCAGCCCCCCGCGTGTCCCCAGGTGTCACCTGGGCACCCCCGGAACTCTTGGGCCCCCCCAACTCCCCTCTCGGTGACACCGTAGCCGTGGCTGGTCTGGGTGAGGGGCGCAGGGGTGGGGACAGCCTGTCCCACACCCCTCAGCTCCTGCCCCTCACCCGGCCCCCCCCCAAGCCCCTGTGCCCCCCCGTCCCCTCACCCTGCTCGAAGATGCGGTAGATGCGGTTGGTCTTGGTGAGCAGGGCGGCGTAGGTGAGGCTCATGCCGAGCCCCAGGAAGAGGCGGCGCAGGGCACAGACGCCCACGCCGGGCTCGGCCACCATGAGGAAGGTGATGGCGTAGACCAGGGCGATGCCGGCCAGCAGGACGTAGCTGAGCTCGCGGCCCGACGCCTTCACGATGGGCGTGTCGTGGTGGCGCACGAAGGTGGCCAGCACGAAGGCCGTGGCCATGAGCCCCAGCGTGGCCAGGGCCACCGGCACCGCGGCGCAGGGGTCGCCCCAGCGCAGGCGCAGCACCGGCGTGGGCCGGCAGGCCGTGCGGTCGGGGGTGGGCCGCAGGTGGGAGGCGCAGGGCAGGCAGGTCAGGGGGTCGGCGCGGTACTGGTACCCCCCGCAGAGCTCGCAGTGCCAGCAGCACGGAACCCCCTTCACCGGCTTCTTGCGCTCGCCGGGGCCGCAGGGCAGGCTGCACACCGAGGGCGGGGGGGACGTCGAGTTGGACCCCCACGCCATGGCCTCCTCCTGGGGGGGACACAGCGTGAGACCCCATAGACCCCCCCAAACCCACCACGGACCCCCCACACGGCAGGCTGCACACCGGGGAGGGGGGAGACATCGAGTGGGACCCCCCACCACGGCCTCCTCCTGGGGGAGAACAGGGTGAAAGACCCCCCATGGACACCCAAACATCCCGTAGACATCCCCATGGACCATCCCCCAAACTCCCCCAGGGACCCCCCCAACCCCCCATGGACACCCCACCTGCCCAGGGGGAACAGGGGAACCCCCCAACCAGAGCCCCCAGTTGGCCACTGGGATCCCACCAGTTGACTGTGGGGGGGCACCCCTGGGGGAGTTGGGGGGATTCAGGGGGGTTTTAGGGGTTACGGGGATTTGGGGGCTCAGGGGTGGGTTGGGGGGGACTCAGGGGGAAACTGGGGACTCAGAGGGACCTGGGGGGGTTCAGGGGTCCCACCCTGGGGGTCCCAGCCCCACCTGCAGGCGCAGCCCCTGCACCCACTGCCCCACGGCCCTGTAGGCGCCGGTGCCGTTGCCCCCCTGGAACTGGAAGATGTCGTAACGTCCCGGGGCGTCTCCGTTCTCATTGAAGGACACCGGGGTGCCCGCGCTGCCTGCACACCAGTACGGACCAGTACAGATCAGTATGGACCAGTACAGACCTGTATAAAGCACTAACCCCCAGTGCCACCCCAGCACCAACATACCCCCCCCTACAGGGCAAACCAGTGTTCCCAGTATGGCCTCCAGTGCCTCCCAGTTCATCACATTAAGGCCCCCAACCCCTCCCAGTGCTCCACAGTCCCCACCCAGCACTTCCCAGTACATCCCAATAAGGGCCAGTAGGGTTTCCAGAGCCCCTCAGTATGTCCCAGTGTGGCCTTCAGTGCCCCCCAGTCTCCTCCAATGTCCTCCAGTTTGTCCCAGTGTGGCACCCAGTGTGCCCTAGTTCCTTCCCAGTGCCCCCCAGTACATCCCAGTGCTTCCCAGTATGGCCTCCAGTGCCCCCAGCCGCTCCCAGTGCCCCCCAGCCCCTCCCAGTGCCCCCAGTACCGTTGAAGGCCACCCTGCGGATGTGGGCGAGCAGCTGGCGGCCGTCGGGGGGGTCCATGCTGGGGCAGAGCCCCCCCCCCGGGCAGGCCTCGCCCAGCAGCGAGTGCAGCCCGTGGGCCATGGCCAGGACGGCGTCGATGACGAACTGCACCTTCCCCTCCTGCTCGTAGGGCGAGTCCCGCCCGATCCGCTCCCGGCCTGGGGGCACGGGGGGTCAGGGACCCACAGGGGAAGGGGGTGGGGGGGTGTTCAGGGACCCCCGGGGCTGCCTCGGCTGGGGGGCACGGGGGTGGGACCGCGGGGAGGGGAGGGAGGCTCTGCCCCACACGGGAGGGGTTCAGGGACCCCCGGGGGTCCCGTAAGTTGGGGGGGACCGAGGGGTGACCCCGGGGGGTCTCTGCAGAGTAGGGAGGGGGGTCGGGGGGTGGTACCTGTGCACTTGCGCACGGGGGTCCCGGCCCCGCCCGCGGGGTCCCCGTCGCCCCCCCCGTGGGGGAGGCGACAGTTGAAATCGTCCTCCCAGAACTCGTGGAACCAGAGGTTGCGCCGGTTGTTCTCCAGGGACCGGGACGTGAAGTACTCGTCGAACCCTGGGGGGCACAGAGGGGGGCACGGGGGGCCCAAGGAGTCAGGGGGGTACCCGGGGCACAGGGGGGGCCTAAAGGGTCGCGGGGGGTCCCAAGTGTCACGAGGGACCCCACAGGGTGTCCCACAGCGTTATTGCCCCCCCTCAGTGTCCCGGGGGGCTCTGCAGCCCCTCAGGGTGTCCCATAACTCTGAGGAGCAGCAATGGAGGGGCAGGAAGGTGAGAGGACCCTCCCCAAACACCTCCCCCCCACCCACATGGGGCTGGATGACCTCCCCCCACGGCCCCCTGTACCCCCCAGTGCCCCCAGACTCACCAGGCACTGAGGGTTGGGCAGGATGGTGATGGGACCCTCCCCCACAGTGTGCCCCCACAGCCCCATAGGGTGGCCCCATAGCCCCCAAAGCCCCCCTAGTGCCCCCCATAGTCCCCCCAGTGCCCCCCAAAGCCCCCAGACTGACCTGGCACCGAGGCCCGTTTGGGCAGGATGGTGATGGCCCCGTGAGCCGCCTCCTCCAGCCCCTGCACCGGGGCCATCTTGGCCCCCCAGCTGTCCGAGCCCACCCAGGAGAAGTGGCCCGACAGGTTGGCCAAGGTGGCCGCCTCCAGCACCCGCCTGCGGGGACAGCGTCACTGGGGGCACTGGGGCCGACTGGGAGGGGCTGGGAGGGGACCTGGAGGGACTGGGGGAGTCTGGGAAACACTGGGATGGACTGGGTTGGACCAGGGGGCTGCTGGGAGGGACTGGGAGGGGATCTGAATAGACTGGAAGGGACTGGAAAACACTGGGGGGCTAATGGGATGGACTGGGACAAACTGGGAGGGGCCTTGAATGGACTGGGGGGAACATGGAATCACTGAGAGGGGACCTGAAGGGACTGGGGGGCTACTGGGAGGGACTGAGGAGCATTGGGAAGGGACTGGGAGGCTGCTGTGGGGGACTGGGACAGTGCGGGGCAGGACCAGTCCGTACTGGTTCATACTGGTCCGTACTGGTCTGTACTGGGCTCACCGGATGTCGTCCTCGTTGGCGAACAGCACCACCCCCCGCGCCGTCGACGTCTCCATCAGGCGCCTGATGACCTTCGCGAACTCGCCCGGGCGCGGCTCCCGCGGGATCTTGATGGACTGGGCGATGCACAGGCCCCCTGCGCCAGTATGGACCAGTATGGACCGGTACAGACCAGTACAGACCAGTATGGACCAGTACAGACCAGTATGGACCGGTACAGACCAGTACAGACCAGTATGGACTGGTACAGAGCAGTTCAGACCAGTACAGACCAGTATGGACTGGTACAGACCAGTACAGACCAGTATGGACCGGTACAGAGCAGTACAGACCAGTATGGACTGGTACAGACCAGTACAGACCAGTATGGACCGGTACAGAGCAG